GCAGGTTTCGCGCTTATACCAAACGCGCGCGCACCACCACTGATCTATATTAGTGGAGCGCACAAGCCGCGCTCAGTCTCAAACAGCTTGTGAGCCACAAATACCAAAATGAGTGGCTAACTGCGCTAAAACGTTCAAATACATACAAAATTATGTCAAAATGACCATCTTGGCGAGTATCCAGTTAAACACAGTAAGTTTTGGAATGTTAAATAGTTGAGAACGAGAACGCATGTTGTGTAACAGTATATTGGGTCCGTGGATAAACTCTTAAAGGGACTGCAGTCCAATATTCCTGCTGCTCTCTGTCATGTTAATCAAAGAACAAAAGACAAAGAAAATCACTTTCTGCTTTTGAGTGAATACGTTTTATAACTTTAATGGTAAGCATTAATCTGTATTTAATTTTTACAATGAAGACCACAGAAATTAAAGTAATCAAATGTAAAATAACACATCCAATGTTATTTTACATTTGATTGCATTAATTTCTGTAGTCTTCATTGTAAAAATTAAATACAGATTAATGCTTACCATTAAAGTTATAAAATGTATGGGTCCGTGGATAAACTCTTAAAGGGACCGCAGTCCAATATTCCTTCTGCTGTCTGTCATGTTAATCAAAGAACAAAAGACAAAGAAAATAATACGTTTTATAACTGTAATGGTAAGCATTAATCTGTATTTAATTTTTACAATGAAGACTACAGAAATTAATCACATGTAAAATAACACTGGATGTGTTATTTTACATTTGATTACTTTAATTTCTGTAGTATTTCTTACCTGAATAAAAACTTACTTAACCTGAAAAACTTAGTTTCATAGCTCCCTTTATTCTATTGCATTTATTTGTGCTTTTGTTTGCAATTTTTTTATTTGTTCTTATTTTATTACTGAATTTTTACTTGTGTTTTTTTTATGAAAATAAAACTTTGCATTGAAGAAAAGTATATTTTTGTTTGTATATGCTGTCAATTATAGTTCTTAGAAAGGGAATCGGCAAAATCGGTATCGGCAGATCACACTAACAAAAAATCGGAAATCGGAATCTGCCAAGAAAATTGCAATCAGTGCATCTCTAATAATTAATATAGCCTATTTAAAATAATAATTGCCTTATTTGTATTGATTATCATAATTTATATTTAAATATGCATCCTTAATGAATACTCTATTAATTTTGTTGGGGTCAATGTATTAATGTGCCATTCCCATCCTGTTGTGTATGTCCTTGGTGTAACCACACAATAGTCAGGAATCTTTTGCTGGGTTCACCCAAGGTTTCACTTTGTTTCTCATCAGTCGTGTGTTCTATTCCTGATGATGTTCATCAGAAGTCCTCAGGGTGAGGCTGATTAAATGAGCTTGTAATCTGTGCTCCATGCTCCGTGAGGTGCCGTAAAGACGTCTGTTCATTGTTCTTCAGTGGAGGAAGTACGCTGACTGCATCTAATCTCAGTCTGTCTCACAGAGTCAGTTCCAGAACAAAGCTCTCCTCTTCTCTCCTGTCATACAAAGGTTGTAGGTTCAAACCCTGCTAGCTGTAATGTAGCTCCCATGTAATGTACCTTAAAACTGAATGGTCATTATTTTTTGACAAATGTTGACTAGTCACCAATATTAGGAAAAATTTTATAAATTTATAATGTGATATCATACTTTATTATGACACATACGTAGTTTTGGATTTGTGATGAATCCTTTGAAGCTGCATTACTATGTCTCTCTTGTCTCATGTTGAACAGTATATACACTGTCTTGTGCCCCCTGTGAACAGACTGGCTCGGCCTCGGGCGAATACACAGCTTGTCTGTCTCTCTCGTTCAGTCTCTACTTCTCAAACATCATCATCATCACCAGAAAGCCCTGTCTGACCCAAGACAAACTTAGCCTATACAGCCTGTTGCTGCATTCACATTCAGTTCATACAGGCAGGTCTTCAGCCTGAGACCTCACAGGGCTCCATGCTGTAACTAGTGGTCGACCAATATTGGTTTTTTGACAGCTGATATCTTGGAAAGCAGGGTGGCCAATGGCCGATATAAAGCCGATATAATTGTATTTATTTTAATTAATATTTAAGAAATTTTAAAACATTTGAAAATGGATTAAAACATAAATTTGTAAAATAAACATACTTATACTTTAGATGACAAAGTATTTTCCACAAATAAATATTTAATAAAAATATAATTAAAAAGGAAGTAAACCGTAACCAACAGAGCACTCAGTATTCTGGGAAGTTTGTGTGCATTGGGAATCATATTTTTTAAAATAAAGCCAATAATACTTTATAATATGTATCTATATGTAATTTATTTAGCTATTCTGTGTTTGCTTTAGAAGCCATTGTAGGTGTTCTCACGCTCAGTCTGGCTACGTCCAAGGCTTTACCAGAAATAGTCCTTGAATGTAATGCTGTAGGTGTCACTTACTCCTCTGTAGGGTTGTTTGTCGCTCAGAACCCAGATGGACTGTGTTTGGATCCACCATGTCTGTGTTGTCGGGTTGGTGGTGAGGAATGTGATGTAACAGTCTTGAGCTGAAACTTTCAGCTCACCCTATTCTTCATCCAAGCTGGCTGGATGAAGGTGGTGGAATCGTTCTCAGCATGCCTGGAATAACAGATAAAAGCAGTGAGATTTTGTAAAGCAGGCTGATACAAACCTGTATATGTTTTTATAGCTGGTTAAATAACTGCAGAGGAGAATCATATTTGCTAAAACGATTCCTTGCCTTAAAACGTCTCTTAAAAGATTTTCCTCTTGAGTTGGTTGAAAATGTGTTCAAAGCAATGAAACAATCTTTGTTTGCAATGTGAAAGTTTATTCAGCGTTGATTTATATTCTGCACTCACCCTGCAAATGTTTAATATTCTTCAAACAAGTCCTTCCATATTCATGTTTCCTGTCTGGCACCAGCAGCCCAGTGACAGATCAAACTCCCTCTCACTGGACCTCTTTCTCTTTTCTGCTTTCTTCCTTGATCAGGACCAGTTCGACAATCTCGACAAACACTCACAGTGGGGCATCGACTTCCTAGAGCGCTATGCAAAGTTCGTCAAGGAGCGTCTGGAGATCGAGCAGGCCTATGCAAAGCAGCTACGGTGAGCATCTAACAACATGCCTTAAACGGCAACTTCTGTAGATGACTCATCTGATGTCAGTGAGGGGTTTTATTGTTCTGATTACATGAAATAAGTAGGTTAATAAAAAATGAATGATATCAGTGAGTGATACTGATGCACTGGTTCAGATTCAATATTTGTAGCCATGTTTACAAGAGATGCACATAACTACAAGCTTATAGAGTCAAGTGGGTCAATTTCCTGAACAACTAGTTGACTAATTGGTCAAAAAGAAGCCCAGTATATTATAATAATGAGTTTGGTCCATCCTGATTCATTCCTGAAGTTTACAGGCATTACAACAATTTATTAACAATATCTAACTCTTCATCTGAGGTGATATTGCTATTAAAATGAACACACTAAATATTGCTTATTTAAAAATGTACATTAAATCTGCTTTAAAATAATTTAATGCACACTAATCAATCTCGTGTGCTTTTATTATTGGCAGCAGCAAAAATGTTAAGGCCGTTGTTATGTAAATAAAGGTTGATAGTAAAAATGGAAAAGTCATTTACAGTGCTGTACATTTTTTTATATCTTTGCAAATTATTATAATATTTAACTGATGTGCCATTTCAGGTGTGCATATGTTTTTAATGTGGCTTGTCCAATCAATTTTTATAGCGGAATGATCCATTTTATAATAGGGCTTTAATTGTCCTAATGAGCACATCTGGTTTGACCCATGTTATTGATTTCTTTCTTTTTTCCCCCCTCCATCAGTTCCTTGTGTGGTAATATTGGTTTTTGCCTTGAGATACAGCGTGAGGGGTGAGCGACAAATCAGGGGTCAAAAATCCCTGCAGGCTCTAAGTTGTAAGATTTGAAATGAGATCAAACTGAGAACGAGACACACACCGTGATTTCGCCAAAGGACACGCAATGACTGCAGCTGTGGCCTCCTATTTTCTCTCCTCTTCCGTGATGTCTCTGTCCCTGTAGACATTCTGCTGTTGCCCGGATACGGTTATAGAGTCGCTCCTCTTCCCCCTCTCAAATCTCATTGAAGGTTCTAGTGTAGTACCACATTCATTCTACCTGTCAGGTCCCACACTGCTCTGTAAACCCCCCTCGAGGCACGGCCAGTCACACATGGCAACACCCAGACTGTTTTCTCTCTCAAGGGTTTCCATAGTAAGGGGTGAATGGAGCCGAACCACAGTACCCTTGTTTGATTTTAATATTATTTTTCAAATTAATCATGTATTACTGCATTATATATTTTATTTGTTCAGCATGATTGCACATAACAACTATTTTGGATGATTAATCAATTGATATTTTCTTTGATTAATCTGTTGAAAAAAAGTCAGCTATTGCAGCATTTTATCAAAAGTATATTGTTCCGCATATTGTCCAGTTGTTTCCTTCAAATCCTGTTTAAGTTAAATAAATAATGTTAGTAATTATATTTATAAAAGATGTATTTATAAATTAACATGCAAATTAACATAAAATGTATGTTATTTATTAACATGCATATGTGTATTTATAAAAAGCGTTTATAAATATTTAGAATGGAAAAAAAATATGCTAACAATATTAATAAATGTTTAGTTTTTCAGTTTTCACATTGTTTGATGACAATAAATCTGTTAATTTAATAACCAGTATTAAGTTTAAAAATAATCATGTCAAAATTATTTGTAAAAATGTAAAATACATAGAGTTGTCATAACATATAAAATTATTCATAGTGATACAAAATGTTGGACTCTGTTCCTGCCGCTACTATTCATTGTGTTAAAAAACATTTTAACATTAAACCTTGAAGTGCACACAGCATATTTTTCCACAACTGTTTGTTGATTATCAGTTAGATGCTTATGTTTTTACTGCAGCCCTAAAATTCAGCAAGATCGTCTGAATCAAAAATAGATTCTGAGATACTTTGGTTATGAGTGTACTAATCATAACCATACTAAAGGAGAGGGGAAGTGAGTGTTTGTTTGATTGATTTCATGAAGTGGATTTGAGGAAGCTTTCGTAAAGGAAGTGCCAAACATCATTAATGCAGCTCGATGGGGGTCTGGGTTGGGGAGAAGGGCCGTCCCACTCCTTGAGCACACTCAGCGGACCCCCCACACCATCCCCCATCCCTGAAGACAGCAACATGCCTGAGCACAGCAGTGCAGCTTCTCTCAAGAGCTCCCACATAAGATTTGTTTCTGCGCTCCTTCCCATGAGTTTATACTGCGTGGGACGAGGGAAGAGGGAAGACAGATTAGCATACCATCACTTTTTTTTGCCTATTTACCATGGCCTACTTTACTTCTCTGATGCACAAAGTAAACACACTGTTGACAGACTCCTTTTTGTCTTCGTGGCTGTATGAATAACTTTAGTTTTGATGTTAAGGTATATTATAATCCCTAATGAGTAGTTTTGTTTGATCTATTCATAACATGTGCTGTTTTTGTGTCTATCTGTGTGTTCTGAATATTTCTTTTTGTTGCCCAACAGGAGTCTGGTTAAGAAATATTGCCCTAAGCGCTCCAAAGATGATGAGCCCAGGTGAGATAAATTGCATACTTTCGGTTCTTTTCACTTATTCTAGCGTGCTCCAGTGGTTCTCAAGTGGTTATTTTCACAGCTTTTTACGCTTTTAATGGATGATGACAAAAAAAGTTAATTGTGTATAGGTAGTAACAGACTATTACATATACTTCTAGAATATTTGATTCTGTTTGGTCAGTCAGGACATTATTTTGGTCAAATATTCAAACTGTATAATTGACCATTATCCACAGAATGTAATTTCCTATATAGATAGCTAGTTCCGTGTGTCTCATATCACTCCGCAGTCTATTTCCTCATAGATAGTTTATCTAAAATGAATAAAAACATTTCTTGTTTGAATAAATGCTGTTCTTTTTAACATTTATTCATCAAAACATCCTGAAAAAAAGTACCACGGGTTCCAAAAAAAATATAAAGCAGCACCGTTTCCAACATTGATAGTATATCAGCGTATTAGAATTATTTCTGAAGGATCATGTGATTCTGAAGACTGTAGTAATGACTGATGAAAATTCAACTTTGCCACCACAGGAATTCATTATTTTATATTGTAATAATTACTATAATTGTGTTCTGTTGTATTTATTGTATTATTATTTTTTTTAAAATAAACACAGCCTTGATGAGCGTAAAAGACTTATTTAAAAGACATTAAAAATGTTTTGAACAGTAGTGTATATGCGTGTGTGTGTATATGAATATGTATATATATTATATATATATATATATATATATATATATATACAGTATATTATATATATACAGTATATTATATATTACAAAACTGGAAATATAAAAATAAATGTTTGAACTACCATTAATTCTTTAAATTTGAACTCATGATATCATTTCATTGTATGTTTTGGCTGCAGTTGCTGTCCTAAGCAGCATGTTTCTCCCCTGTTGGCTGTAGTTTTAGGTTGAAAGCAGAAACGGGAGTATATGCTGGGTGTCAGCTCCAGACCCTCACATATCCCGTAATGAATTCCATTAGATAGGCATAATTTCTCCCAGCATGTGTTTTTGTCCCAGGACATTCATGTAGTGTACAGACAGCCCGCCGATTAGAACTCAGCCCTGGAGGTGGGGGCCATTTGCTTTGGACAAAAAAACTCCGTCCAGCCTTCCCAATACACACACATTGCAAAGTGTGTGCATGTTTGTAAAGGTTTTTTTTAAATATAGTGAGCTAGTCATGCCTTGCAGACTGGCCTTTAGTCAATATCGACATACAGATAGAGTCTGCCGGCCCCCAGGGCCCATGATGGCAACTTGAGAAGAAGCTGCATGCGACTGGTAATAAATGCACGTAATTTTTTATGAGGGCATAGACATCTCTCTTAATGTCTCATATTAGAATATAAGCCTTTAGTTCAGATGCAAGAAATTCCAAAAATTTAAGTTTTTATTGCAGTGTTTTACTTTGATTTTGCCCTAAAAATGGTCATTGATGCTGTTATGCCAATAAAAATAAATAAAAGATGTAAACAGATCATGTTTACCATTTTCTTCATTGTTGAATATTTTTTTTCCTGCAGGTTCACATCCTGTCTGTCATTCTACTCCATACTGAATGAGCTGAATGACTACGCAGGTCAGCGAGAGGTCGTTGCTGAGGAGATGGGGCACAAAGTGTATGGGGAGCTGATGAGGTACTCACAGGACATGAAGGGAGAGAGAAAACTTGTGAGTGCCAAATACATGCACCTGAGACACCTGCACGCTCTGGTGAAGTTCAATACAGGTTTGTATTTTTAAAAATTGCTGTGTCTTGTCTGATCAACAGCATCTCCAGGAGGGACGGAAGACCCAACAGTATCTAGACCAGTGCTGGAAACACATGGACAACGTGAGTCATTTTGAGATTTGAGATGTCAGAAGTACTGGTACTTTGCTACCAAAAAATTACAGTCGATTATGTCTGAAACAGGTGGGGGGTGGGGGGATAATAATAAAATATTTTTGTTCATTTTTTTTATGTGTGAGTAATTTATACTACTACAAGTACCTCCAAAAACTTGTTTAATTTGCATCTTTTTTTTGTTCTCTTCATTGCAATTTGTTTCTTTTTTCCTTTGTTTTAGTAGTGACTTTATTAAAAAAATACTTTAAATAATTAAAACCATGAAGCAGTGTTTACATAATTTAAATACTGAATAATAGGGGTGTAACGGTACACAAACATGATGGTTACGTACCTCGGTTTTGACGTCACGGTTCAGTATAGTTTTGGTACAGCAGGAGAGAAAAAAACTAAACATATATATTTTTTAAATTAAACAATGGTTTACTGAACAAATAGCTTCTTTTTTTTTTAAGTCAGATAAATTACAATTAAAATTTTATTAGGGATAACAATCTACCTCAGCTTCTGCTCTAAACTATAGGGAGCCATTTTACATTAAGGATACAATTAACAACAAAGCCGAAAATTCCGAAAATATTTATTTGTAACTATAATAATCAACACTCAAATAAATTAATGCAAACATGTAAATTGCACATAATGTAGTTTTTCAATGAACTTCTAATTTATACAATTTCTCTGTTGTTGTTGAAATATATTCATTTACACAGTGGCTGTCATAACGTGTTTCATAAAAGATTTATTTAAACATATATTAAATAATTAAGACATCACTATCAGGTAAAGTAAAATATAATGAAGTATAATGTTTCTCAAAATGCTCTTTTCTAGACTTAATTTCTCTAGCAAATAACGAGCTGTAGACACTGATGACTTGCCTGAGGTAATTGAAATGCTACGTGACATTTTGTTTACAAGCTGTTTTAATGACGTCTTTTCGCAATTGAAACACTGATTGATCGAATACATGAGATATTCGTTCATGTATATTTCGCGTTAAAACTAGTAGTAATGATGAAGGGATGATCGCGCTCAGCACTTCCGTCAGAACTGAGGCTTCTATACAGCGATCTGTCACGCCACATCAAAGAACATCAAAACGGCATTTATTGTCTGCATTTCCTGAAAAAAAAATTGAATGATTTGTTCGTTACACATGCGTACTGAACCGAAAGACCCGTACCGAAAATTTTCAGTATGAATACATGTACCGTTACACCCCTACTGAATAATAATATTAATAATAATAATATGGACAATTAACAAACAAACATAACAAAACTACAATTCGCAGACCAAGAGCTGAAGAGTAATATTCAGAGGGGAAAAAATGTGTTTTTAAGCAAGGAAGAAGCTTTAATCTATACTTTTGATTTAATATTCAGTGGCATATTATTTTTTGCTATGTTTTGGAAGTTGAATATGAGAAACGTGAAATTGTACTGGTATTAGTATCAACCACAGAAGTTTTGTAATAGCATCAGCTCTATTTGAGATGCACTGTTGTGTCAATGAGTGCAAGTGACCGATTCACAACCTCTCCTCCAGCTGTGACCTGAGATCCAGATATATCTGTGTGTGTTTATGTGCAAGTATAAAACAGAAGAATGTGTCAAAAACTGTTGGCAGTATACAAATGGAAACCTTCCTGCACCACATTCAAGTTATAAAGCTCTCTCTTTCCATTCTCCCTCTCTCTCTGATTCATACCCTGCATTCCTGCATCCTGTACATTTCCTGCCTGTCAGTGCGTCTCATATTCTGTACGGCTGGAGTATTTTTGCAGCTTTATGGTTGCTGCAGCTAAAGGCCAGCAACAGCTGAATCTGGCATTGAGAATGGCCATGTCGTAATAACATAGGTATTCCTCATTCTTGCACTGTCACGAAATGAAACACAGATGCTTTGGAAGCTGTTACACAAATTTCATTATCGCTCTCACTCTCTGTACTGTTTTGGATGTTTGTTTGTACGTTTATCTGTATTTATGTTGCTACTTGATCAAAACATGACAAAATATACGACTGTATTTTATGCAGGAAGATCGTTAATGCTCACTTAGTGTTGCAGGAAATGCGTCATGTGAGTTTTGACAGCCCAAAAACATCTCTCCTTTTCCGTATGGATTTTACAGAGTAAAAAGAAATTTGAACGGGAATGCAAAGAGGCCGAAAAATCACAGCTCATCTACGAAAGGCTAGACAATGATATCAACGCCACAAAGTCAGAGGTGGAAAAGGTAGTTTGTGTGATCCTGATATACTCTACATCAGTGTTTCCCAACCAGGGTGCCGTCTGTCGAGAGCAGGGGTGCCGTGTAAAAAATCCTTTTTTAATATTTTTAAATTGCTAAAATGTTCAAAAAAAGCAGCTATTATATAATATCCATTTCTGATGTCGCCAATAATTAGAGATGCACTGAAACTCCGGCTGCCGAAAATGAGTTCACCGCTCAGGATTCACTTTCACGTGGTGTGATGCTCTGCGTATTATCCCGCTCTATGCGTGTGTGTGCTCCGCTCAGTCGCTCACGGCCCATGTGAGTGCTCCACTCATATACCGTTCATGCTCATCGGAACAGCAAAGTCCACTCAAAAATCGAGCTGACAGGAAACATCTATGTAGTACAGTATTGTTTCTGTTTGCAATAGCCCTACTGTGCTGTAACAAGGTGTGGTAAATGGGCAACTCTGGTAATGCTGCCCTCTCATTCATTGATCTGCTAACCGTTATGCTCACGTGTCCTCTGATAATAATAGCTTTCTAGGATTAAACATTATTTGGATAATTGGTAAAAAAAAAAATCTCTTTAAAAATCTTCAACGTGGCCATCCCTCAGATATTCAAGGTGATGATATCCCTGATTTGTAGTTTCTGATATTTCAATTACATTTTTTTAGTAAGTTTTTAAAGGCTAAGCTTTTAAAGACTATACTCACTGAATAAATTGTTGATAAACTTACACTTCAAAGAGAAAGGAAAATTGAAATCTCATCATATGACCCCTTTAATGTTTTTCTTTTCTTTTAATCTTTCTATTTAGTTCAGTTTTAATAATTTTAGTATTTAAACTTATCTAATTCCCATTAGTTGACAGGGCAACATTTCTTCAAGTTAAATTTATCATCTAATATTTATATTTTATTTCCGCTTTATTTCAATTAACAAACAATTTTTAGTAGTTTCAGTTAACAATAACACTGTAATAAATTGCATTTGGTTTGTGACTGCTCACAGAAACGATCTCATAAATCAAACGACTAGTGTAGTTTTGTGTATGTAGTTGAACCACTGTGTCTGTGTGCTTGTAGAATCTGCAAGACATGGATGAACGGCGGACGGTCAAGCTTGGGGAGATGTACCGGAGTTTTGCTGAGGTGGAACGAAGAGTCATTCCCATTATCTCAAAATGCTTGGAGGGCATGGTTACTGCCGCTAAAAATGTGGACGAGCGTAGGGTAAGTACTGAAATGCTATTAAAATATTTAAGGGCCCTAAAAAAAAGAATTGCATATGGTAAAAAATCTAGTTAAATTAAATATTAACAATATATACTGCTATTCAAAAACAAAATATTAAAATATATTAAAATAGAAAACAGTTATTTAAAATTTTAATTATATTTCCGATTATTACTAATTTTACTGTATTTTTGATCAAATAAATGCAGGCTTGGTGAGCATAAGAGACTTCTTTTAAAAACATTTTAAAAGATCTTACAGAACTTCTTTGATATATATTTATGTTGCTTGCAAAAAAACTAGGTGTAGTTATGACATCTAACATGCTTTGATAACCAGCCTTCATCCATTTGTTGCCTCAAGTAACTTATTACACTCCATTATGAATTTAAGGAAATATACCATACTTCTCCCTGAGGTCATTTTGTACCTGTGATCTCCATGGGAGCTGCGGTCCACTTCTTGATAGAAAAAAGGGGTTATCAGAGACGGCGAGTGGGTGGGAGGAAGTGAGGGAGTGGATGATTGAGAGCCAGGGAGGATGAGAGAAACATAAGTTGCTCATTTTCTTAATGCTGTTGCCAACGCTGATTCTTATGAAAAGGTCGCTTGTGGCGCCGTAACCACTGATTACAATTTTATCTTGCCCTGTTTTAGTCTTCCTCTCTCTTTCTGTCCTGTTCTTGTATAAACACTACTGTTAAAAGATTTAGTGTTGGTTAAATTATTATTATTTTTATGATTTAGAAAATTCTCTTATGCGCAACAAGGCTAACTACAGTAAAAAATAGTAATATTGTGAAATTTTGCTATTTAACATAATAGTTTTCTAATTTAATATATTTTAAAATGTAGTTTATTCCTGTGATGACAAAGCTGAATTTTCAGCAGCCATTACTCCAGTCTTAAGTGTCACATGATCCTTCAGAAATAATTATAATATGCTTAGTATTTTTGTGAAAACAATATTTTTTTCCAGGATTCTTTATTGAATAAAGAGTTCAAAAAGTGCATTTATTTGAAACATAAATCTTTTGTAACATTATAAATGTCTTAACTGTCACCTTTGATCAATTTAATGCCTCCTTTTTGGAAAAAAATCTTATCGAGCCCGAACTTTGAAAGGTTGATATAGGACTTTTAAGAATTGCTTTGACTTTGGAGTCAGACAGTTCTACGCAAAAAGCAGGACTTCAGCTCTATATGAAGAAACTAAAAATAACTTTCAGTGAAGTCTAAGCCTTCTTAAATACAGGTGCCCAATCCTTCGTCCCACTAGCCAATTTTTTTTTAGCCAGTTTTCCATGGTAAGTTATGTTTTAAAGAGGATCCCCCTTATTCTTGATCAGCTATGTGTGCAGCCTCAGATGTGTTAATATCCTCTGCAACTCTATGCTGAGTTAATAGCCCTACTGATCTTCCGACAAGATCTCAGTGCTCATAACACACACATTTAGCAGCTCCTAACTAGGTTAGGATACCCCTCCAGGTCTCTTAAATAATTTAGGATTTAAAAGCAACTAATTTATGCACAACTCTTTCTTTATACCAGGAATAATGCTGCGTTCACATTTTGGCGAATTACTGTAATTTCAAGATGGCAGCTCGAAGATTCTGCTTGGAGCAGTTCACATCCTCATACTCGGAAATTATTTGTTTCTTTGGTAACACCCATAGCACCATGCCTCCCTTGTTTTTCCTCTCTTCTCCTCGCTTTCCTGAATTCATTGGTGGATACTTGCCCTGCCCAGCGACAAACCAATCAGGTCTGATTATGACCTGCTTCTGTTTATGGTTTTATTTATGAGCTCGCTTACGTTGTTTTGGGATTTCCTAATGCCCTCTGTTCGAATGCTGAGGCCAAGAGAGGCTCGTAGAGGCTGTTAAATGGGTGACACGAAGCCAGATCTCTTTGTAATGGTACCACACCCTTGACAAACACAGTTGTCCCAGACCAGCTAACCATCCTGCCTCGTGCCTCATTTCACCAACACTATAGTACTCACTGTTCCTTCCTTCGCATAACATTAGGTAGATACATAGATTCTTCCATGGTAAAGGGTTAGTTCACCCAAAAATGAAAATTAGGCTGTGTTTTACTCACTTCATGCACTGCTGACTTCAATGATAGAGCTTGGAATAGCCAGGACAATTTTTAATATAACTCCAACTGGATTCGTCTGAAAGAAGAAAGTCATATACACCTAGGATGCCTCGGGTGTGAGTAAAACACAGACTCATTTTAATTTTTGGGTGAACTAACCCTTCAAGGTCTCTCTTTTTTTCTCCCAAGATTTGCATTGTTGCAATGTCTTTTCCCTCCATGCAGTATATTACTGCCACTGATGGTGTGACATAGTGATATGGGCTGGTGGTAAGCATAAGGTTGCTAGTTCAGTCTTTGAAAGGAATGAGCTTATGCTTATAGTACTGTTAAACTGAAAGTGTCAAGTGTTTGATGTTCAAGAGTGCAAATAAATAAAGGTGTGGTACCAATGTGCTCAAGAAACATTTCTGATTAACAGTTTTGAAAACAGATGTGTGCGGTTTAATATTTTGGTGGAAACATTTTGTGATAATTTTTAAGGATTATTTGATGTATAGAACATTTAAAAGAATAGCATTTATTTGAAATAGAAACCTTTTCTAACAACATAGGTGTCCCCATCTTTTTAAATAATTTTAATGTATTGTTGCTGAAGAAAGAACACTCCAAACGTCTGAATTGTAGTATATGATTCTTGCACTTGGCTCTACATAAAGGTTATGCATATTGTTGCTGTCCCACAGGATTCTGGGGTTGTAGTGGAGTCATTCAAGTCAGGGTTTGAACCCCCGGGTGATTTCCCCTTTGAGGACTTCAGTCAGAACATCCAGCGAACAGGATCAGATGGCACCATTGGGACCCCCAAAACGGAAGGAGGCAAACCGGACCCTAAACACGCTGTTGGCAGGACCAAAAACAAACTCTGGCTTTTTGGGAAGAAACCGAAGGTGAGTTTCACAAACTCTTTTCATTGCTAAGCAACTTTCTGTTACATTTTAAGGCTCATTTGCTCAGAATAGGTGATGAATTAAATGTCTGCATGATGTCCAGGCTCTCTGCTTTGGCTTGTGTGAACAGTAAAGGATTATATGGCTAGGTAAAACTTTAACTTCTGCTTTCAAACCTATGCTGTCACTAACTACAAACTTCCTGACCTTTTCATGTCTTTTTTAACAACATGACTTCACGTTTTTCCTTCCCTTGAAAGTAGTTCTTGTTTTTAAAAACCCTTAATTTGAATGATGTAATGAAAGTTAAAACTTGCTTCTAAGCAACATTTAACAAGCTAGACGTCGTTCATTTAGGCATTTAACTAGCTAGATGAGCGATTATAGTTTTGCATGTTCATTTGTTTGTGTTTGGTTAGTAGTTCACCTTAAATCTTTATTGTCCCAGCTTCCCCCATCCATCCCTCCCCCTTCCCTCCCGAGTTTTCCCTCTGGCCATTTCCAGCCTCCTAAATTTTCTACAGAGCGGATAGCTAACCATCTATCCGAAATGAGAAATGCAAAATCTAAGATCCCATCCTTCCGAGCTGTGAAAAGAGGGGTAAGAGTCGGCCCGGATCTGGCGTGTGTGGGTTTGCAATGATAATGACGTTAGTGCTTATGCTTGGGCCGGTTTCTCTCACCCAAGGTTTAGCTAATTCCTGCACGCGAGGAAAGTGTGAATCACAATTATTTTTGAGTGAAGGAATAATGCTTTATCTGGGTCCAAAGAGCTGTGCCCCTAATTTTAGCTCTGGGGTTTGATTGTTGCATAAAGCAGCAGAACATGGTGGAGGGTGTGTTGGGTGGGTGTTTTTTTTTTTGTCTTGATTTTTTTTTTTTTATGCACAGCTTAGTATTTTTTTTCTACTTGTGTTCACACTGACTGGCTGGGTACAAAATATCGATATCTCGATAATAATCGATTCTCATTTTAAGGAACGATATAGATTCCTAAATCCCAAGAATCAATTATTCTAGCCTGTTTTCAGTTAATGGACGGAACATTGAAGGGTACTTCCCATCCAATAAATCGCAATAAGCATTGTGCATTGGTAAGGTAAGTTAAAAGAAAGAGTACAACTTTACAATCCGTATCCTGTCTCATGTAATGTCATCATGCTCAATCTGTGTTTATAATATAACGGCTTGTAAACAATGTCACTTAAAGGGTTAGTTTACCCAAAAATGAAAATTAGCCCACAAATTATTCACCCCTCAAGTCATCCTAGGTGTATATGACTTTCTTCTTTCAGACGAATCCAGTCGGAGTAATATTAAAAATTGTCTTTGATCTTTCAAGCTGTTTAATGCCACTCAGCGGGTGTTGCACGCATCAGTCCAAAAGAAGTTAAATAGAAAGCGCCCATCCATAAACAAAAAGTGTCTCACACGGCTCCGGGGGGTGAACAAAGGCCTCCTGTAGCGAATAGATGCTTTTTTGTAAGAAAAAAATCCATATTCAAAACGTAATAATCACTTTAATGTAGCTTGCGCCAACAGTCCTACACAGAAGCAGCTCCGGGCGGATGACTTATGAGTGGCATTAAACAGCTTGAAAGATCAAACACAATTTTTAATATAGCTCCGACTGGATTCGTCTGAAAGAAGAAAGTCATATACACCTAGGATGACTTGAGGGTGAGTAATTTGTGGGCTAATTTTCATTTTTGGGTGAACTAACCCTTTAACGTCACATTTACCTCTGAAAAAAAAACCATTCTGTTACCATAAACTCATTAGTCAGATAGAAAAATAAACTGTATAAACCTTCAATATTATAGTAATGTTGTACCAACTGACTCTCATGTATATTTTACAACATTAGTTGAGATTTTTTTTTTCCTTGAGAAAATTTGGCATGTACTGTACCTGATATATATCCAAAATAATCAATATTGAATCGAATCGCAAGCTTGTGAATGAGAATCGAATTGAATTGTGAAATTTGTGTCAAAACCCAGCCCTACACTGACAGTAATTTTAGTCACACAAGTTGCATTGCCTGCACTCTCATTGGTAGATGCTGCAATTTTGCATTGACATGATTGATGTTGCTTGTTTCTCTCATTGAAAATTGCAGTAACTTGCCGTTACTTTAACACTATAAATCGCCGTAATTGTGAACGTCTCTCAAAATAGACTTGAGGATGGGAACACAGAATAAATTTACAAACATGAGAGGATTGTCTAATGGATATATACATTGAGTTTAGTCTGGGAGACTCCGTGTTTTGAATAATTCTCCTTTGAAGTTCTTTTAAATACAGAACAAAGCTTTTTGGATAAATACCAAACCAATTTTGTTTACCAGAAATGTTTAACATCCAATTGTGAATCTTTTTATAGAAAAGTGTCCATCAAAGTCATTTTAATTATCTTCAAAGAGTTCCAGTCTGACCTTTTCTAAACAAAAGAGCAAACGATGACTCTTCAAATATTGTTTTTTGCGAAGGTTTAAAGGGGTCATATGATGTTGCTAAAAAGAACATTATTTTGTGTATTTGGTGTAATGAAATGTGTTTATGTGGTTTAAGGTTCAAAAAACACATTATTTTCCACATACTGTACATTATTGTTTCTCCTCTATGCCCCGCCTTTCTGAAA